AAGAGAGGTTTGAATGGCTCTGGATGGGCCAGATTATGATACTATCTGGCACGTCCTGATGGTGAATACCGACCACTATTTTTCAAATTTTAAATTAAAAATAATACAGCGATGAGGTGGAAATTACAACTTACTTTTTCCTTACTTTTTAAAGAAGAGATTTGAGCATTTTGAAGCATTTGTGATTATATTGCCAAAACCGAACATACTCCATCAGCATTTCTTGCAGCAAGCTTTCCCTGCCATCCCGCAGGGAAGGTACTGCTTACTCAGTGTGGATGGAGTGCCATGGGGGAAGGGGAGGGTGGGTGAGGGAGGCTCCTAAAGCAAATATTATGGCCCCTCTCCAGGAATGGTACAGAAAAATAGCTGGTTATTTAGATAATGAGGAACCGGGTTCTGCCTCCTGTGGCCCGGAAATGCCTCCATGTTTTCCTAACATTTTTATGTCCACAACCCACAGAACACACAGAAGAGCCTGACTCAGTACACATCTCATCCCCATCTGTGAAAAATACTTAACTTTACTAGTTGTGATGCCAGGAAATAGTTCACTAGATTTCGATCTTTATATTTTTACCCTATTCTTTCTATTATATTCTGTTCTATTTCATTAAAGAAAAGAAATGAGAAGGAAGACGTGTCCACGTGTCTTTCACAGCATCTTGACCAGCACTGTCCTGCTCCATCCTTGACCCTGCAGACTTGAACTGCCACAGATACATGCATTTTATATAGAGGACTAGGACAGGTTCCTTAACCTCATCTATAATGTGGGGGTGATTTTACCTGCCCAACTTTTTAGATTTGAACATCAGATGAGACCCTTTAGGAAAGAGCTTTCTCTCTATAAAATGCTGCACTGATGAAAGATTATATTATTGCCCAAACGTTAACCCCTGGCAAAGTACTCCACGAATTATTTTTCTTAACTGTATTTGCTGATTTCTCACATTGAGACTCTAAGTGCTGACTTTCTGTTGTTAAAGTTTTGGTTGGTTTGTAAATTTAAAAAATGTATACTTTGGCTGATTTTTAAAGAACACTCAATTACAGTCACCTAGTGCATTACGATCACTGTGTGCTTAATGTTGTATAAGGGTGGTCTTAACTTCACAAAATCGATCAGCTGAAATTAAATAAGCATCAATTTGAAAGGATGTCAATCCCTTTTGTGTTTAAATAATGACATTAGAGTTATTAGGAGGGTTTTCTTAGCAACCATCTTAGTAAGTCGTAGGGAGAGAATATCTGTCGTCCCCAAGGCAAAAAGAAAGTGACATCAGGGAAACCCTACCACCCTTGGTGGCTGTCAGCAGTAGCTCCTCTTGAATTGCTCAGGGCATTACAAATCGATACATTTAAACTAAGTATTCTTATGTCAATTAGTGCTAATTAATCCACATACATTCTTAGTTCTCATGTGGGCCCTCATGTTCGTTATTCAGAATACATGCTTTTGATCTTGTGCTTGTGACTTTTGTTATGGTAAGTTATTTTCAAAGGGCTTTTTTTGCTTTTAGACTCTGTGTGTTGAGAGATAAGGGGGTGGTTTGTGTTGGCAGTGGGTGAGACTCCCAGCCTCCCTTGGTCCCAGGAGCTGTCATTCCTGTGTACGTGTTGCGCTGGAGGGAACTGTCCCAGAATCAATATTTGCATAGGAAAATTTTCCCCAACCTACTCTTATTCTGATCAGATAAAAGAAAAACTAAGCTCAAAAAAATCTAAATAACTGCTTCCTCCTTCTTCCACCACATGAGCCACACCTCTGGGAGGCGTGAAGAGAGGAACTGCCTCCTTATTTATTCCTTGACGTTAATCTTTGTATTAAAGGGTCATAGGATACTCCCTTTTAGGTGACTGTGTATTTCATATAAGAGATCTCTTGGGATGATCATAAATCTTTGAAAATCCAATATAAATAAGTTTTTGTTCCAAACTGGTATATAACCACTGACTAAAATGCATTTTTAGAATCATAATTTTTTAGTATATCCAAGAAAATAATCTCATGTGTGTTGGAAGAGACCAAGCTCTTTTCTTTTCGTCAGGGCGCTGAGGCTGATTGAGTCCACCAGAACTTTGAGATTCTCACTATTGTGCTGGTTGAGATTGCTGAGTTTCCTTCCTTTGCCAAGTACCTTAACTTGATTGTGTTTCTAATTTTTTTTTTTTATGTCAACCAAAGTGTAACACTAGGCAACAAATATTGGGGTCTTCAAAGATGTGGCAAAAAAAAAGTAGCACTATTATTGGGGAGAAGCTAGAAATATAGGACTGAATTTTTATCCCCAGGATGCTTTTGTATTAACATCTTCGTCCTTCGATTCTATTTATCTGCATTAAGAATTTTGCCTAAATCTCAAAAAATAGTGTTAACTCCCAATCCCAAAATTCTTATTCACTGTCCTGCATGTCCTGTTTCATAGTGTCATAAGGTAAGAAAAAGAAATGCCTGTACCCTAGAACATTGTTGTTTTAAAAACAAAAAAACACATGAGTCTAGTAGGCAAAAATATTCTAAAATTTACTTTTCTTTATTTTCATCGAAACTAAAACTTTAAAGAGCAAAAATTCAAATAAAGCATATAGTAAGTGCCAAGGTATTGTTGATACTTCATGTAGTTGAAGCTGTCCCACATTGATAGAGTATCAAATTGCCTGCCAAGAAAATTACTCCCCGTTACAGGATGAGGGAAGTCTTTTTATATTATTTCACTTAGTTAAATGGAGTTCCTTACTTCTCCAACCCATTGCATTTTTAAGTGGAATTTAGGATGTCATTCTATATTTTGTTTTTTCCTTTGCATTCACCTCAGTTTTTCAGAGAAAACATTAGTGTTTTTCTTTATTCTTAAGTTTCCTCCAAATCGGGCAACAGTAGCAACAGGGGATCCCCTTTTTGAATAGCGTGAATGGAACTTTTTGCTGAAAATGGAAGAAAAGCCTCTGCCCACTTCTGCTGTTCCTGCCTTTGCCTTTGGATGCTCGGCTGGTAGGAATCATCCTACTTATCCATGGAGTTTAACAGCATTTCCCTCCCCTCTTTTTTTACGAATAGTAATGAAAGATGTAGCTATACAAGTAGGTGTAGTCAAGTCATACGGTTTTGGTCACTGGGGGAGGAATTGTTCATCCGGTTGGTTGTCGCAGAGCTCACACTGTGTGCATGGCATTTGGATGGCTCCGTGGTAAGCACCACACAGTGGGCGTAAAAGGCACACAAAAGCAAAAGGTACATGAAGTGATGTTTTAAAAAATACAGAGCAGAAAGCATAGTGTTTAAAAGTACACAAAACAACGCAAACTGAATCCAAAAGTACAGCGAGTGACCTCACGGTCAGTGAGGTTGGTATGTTTTTGGTCTGCTTTTCATGGAAAGAAAAGTAGAAAGAATAATTGGTATAATGGATACGATCAATGACTCGTTCTACTTAGGAGTCATCTTGATTGCGTCTTCTCCCTTCCCACCCTCACCTCCCACATTCGATTCATTGGCAAATTGTATCTATTTTGTCTAAAAATACAGCTCAAATCCTTCGTGGTTTTGGTTTTTTTTGTTTTTCGTTTTTTGTTTTTTTCAGCTCATGGCCACTTCCTTGGTCTGAGCCAGTGTCATCTCTAGCCAAGACAAAAGCAACAGTCACCTAACTGGTCTCCCTGCTTCCTCTCTTGACTCAAGACTTATTAAGTCTGTTTGCCACAAAGACTTAGGGAAAAAGAACCTTGGAATATATACCTCTAATCATGCAATTCCCCATTTTAAACTCTTTAGTGCTTCCATATGTTCTTAGGCTAAAATCCAAATTTACCGTGGTCTATGCGCTCCCTAGACTCATCTCACATCACTCTTCACCTGCTGCGGGCGGCTCCATCTCAACCTTCAGGTCTCAGCCCCAAAATCACTTCTTCAGAGAAGCACTATTCCTGGCCTCCTCTCCAAAATGGCCTTCCCCACGTGGTTTTCTGTCTTTTCCCCATTTATCATGATCTTTAATTCTATTTAATTTTTTAAAAATTATTGTTTTTGTTGTTGTTGTTGTTGTTAGTTGCAGTAAGTTACTGTTCATTGGCTATCTGCCTGGCTAGTTTGTGTACTTCATGAGGTCTTTACACGGGAATCACCCCAGTGCCAGGCAGATAGTAGGTGCTCAATAAATATTCGTTAAAATGAAAGAGCCAGCCGTATGAAGAGAAAAACAATGAAATCACTGTGCTAGGGTCAGAGTTGGGTACAGTATGTTTTGGTGTTGAATGCCAGCGTGAAGTTGCAGATGGGGAGAAAGCCGGAGAGCTCAAGGCAGAGCTTTGTTGATGAACAGAGTTTGGAATTGATAAGATAAGCAATTCATAGGCCAAAGCATTGCATTTGTCGTATTTTCTGAGAATGGTTATTTTAGCAGTTGTGCCTGAGCTGGATGGTATTAGGGAGAGGCTGGGATCAGGGCCTTTGTGTTATGAGGTTATGGCCCCAGTAGAGAAAGGGAGACAAGGACTTGGGTAGAGAGACACTGAGGGAATGTGGGAGAAGAGGAGGACTTGAGACTCCACAGCTCAGATTTTTGTGGAAACAATGCACTGAGCAATCCAAATATAAAATGTTGTGCTGCTTTTATTGTAAACACTAAAAAAAAATCACATTAAAAAATGACGTTCTCACATGGACTCGATAAAAGCCTTCATCTATCTATACCCCAACTTCCCTTCGGGTGAAGCACAGAACTGACATAATAATGTCTTGTTAGGTTTTAGTGAAAAGGAGAATGAGGTCAAAGTTTTCCACTGTCACTGATTTAATAAATGAGATAATGTACGTGAAAAGTGCCTAGTGCTATTAGTTAAACTTTTCATCCAAGAAATTAAAAAAGTACCATGTTTATATTTTGTGAATCTGACTAGTATTTTCCTGTCAAGTTGTATCTGAAAGAAAATGATCTGAAACAGTTTTCTTATGATGCTACATTTGCTTAATATTACTCTTCTCTTTTTCTGAATTTAAGCAATGGCACAAGATGAAGAAAACAGTGACAAACACGTAACTGTGACAGAAGCTGAAGGGGTTCCAGATTCTCAGGTATGATAAATTCTGTGACAGTCCCTGAGTGCACCCTTCTTTTGTGTTGAGGGAGGTGAGATGGTGCAGGTTTGACATAGGTTTTAACCTTTTATGTTCTGTAAAAATAGTCATATTATGGGAATAAAGTACTTGTTTTCGATAAAGAGACATTTCACAAGAAAGGTTCTATGTTGATAATCACATTCATCATTTGATTCATGTGGGAGGGACAGGTAGGGAGACATACTTCACTTCCCAAAGAAAGCAAGGAAAGTAAGTGAAGAGCCAGGAGAGACCGCCCTTAGGGCAGACCATCCGCTGGAGATGGCAGAGGCGACTCAGCCAGCTGACAGCACAACAGCTAAGGCTTGGCCATTGTGGTGCCTCATGCACCAAAGATTCTGTGCATGAGGCACCCAGGATCCATTTCATGACATAGATATGCTTTTGGTAGCAACTTACTGCCAAATACTATTGTACCTTGGACACCTTAGTGCTCTCTTTATATAAAAGCAGAGCATTTAAAGATTCTTAGTGGGACAGAGGGAAGAGAAGCAGAACAAGTGACATTCTTTAGCAAGTCCCCAGTTATTTTGTAAGTCCTCAATAATTCAACTGCTCAGAATTCCACTCTCCTTGATACCCAGCTATAACATTATGTGGCATAGCTAAATATCTAGGTACCTTAAGCCGGTTTCTTAACCCTTTTGAGTTTTGGATTACTCATCTATAAACCTACCTGATAGGATAGTTGTGAGGAGTGAAAATAAGAGTATGCAGAATAAGTAAGCCATTTGCTTTTATGATACATGAGAACAATAAAAGAGTGGGCCCAGGTGAGTCTACCACTTGGGAATTGATCGTGGGATATGCAGAACAATGGGCTGTCCTGCCCAAGTAGAAGAACCTGACAGAGTCTACACTTAGGCGGTCAAGGGTGGAGAAACTTTGGAAGCATACGAGCCCTTTTGTGAACCCTCATTGCATGCAGGGTGCTGCTCTGTTCTACTAGGCCCTGCAGAAGGAATTGCCTCTCAGGATTGTAATATTAGTATTGTGATATCGCATTTGTCCACACTCATCAAGATGTGTACATTAAATAAGGACTATTGTTTGTATATTAAGTATACGTCAAGAAAGCTGGAAGAAAAAGAGAAAAGATTCTTAGATTAGTTGGCTTGTTGCACTTCACCTTTAAAGTTCTAAAACTGTTCAGAATCATCGCATTTGCTTTTCAGTCAAGATTGCACAGTTCGTAATGTTTTAATAACTTTATATAGGAATTGTTTGGAATTGTTTTGCTATAGTAATATTCAAAATGCTGTGACCCACAGGTTCCTACAGAAATTACCCTTCAGGCTTCCAAGCAAACCTGGGAAGAGATTCCTTCCTGGAAGGTTTCTTAAATCATTAAGTTATTGATGGGACGGATAGTTCTAAGCTTAAATTGTTATTCTTTATTTATTTTGAACTTATTCCGTGGGCAAGTCTGTTTTAATGCAATTTTATTTCTTTGTGTATCTCCAAAGAATACATAGACTTTGCTCTTCGATATCTTGTGATTTTCTACAGTAACCGTAATATAATCAATCACATAGGATACACAGAGGAATAAAATCATAAAACCAGTGAATCAATAATTAGATCAAGAACAGATTCTGTTTAGATTTGAAAGTCATGAGTTAAGTTCACTGGGATGCGTAATTATGAGTGTTATAGGCCTAGGCTGCCTAGAGAGGAAGGCAGCTGCCACCTCCTCTGATATGGCTGAGAAAGCTCATCTGCTGCCACAGGAGAAGCACGAATTTCATTGGTTTGATTCTGCGGGTCCATCTCTGCAAACGCTCAGGGCAGAATCCTCAGGAGTTCAAGTCGTGTAAGGTGAGCTTAAAGAAAACTCAGAATTTCACCATCAGATATCTAGGCAGAATTAGAAATAGATGTATGTATGTGCTCATGCATGTATACATGTGTGCACTTTTGTTAATTTGATGTTCGATGTATACATAATTGAGCACCTAAATGCCAGACTTTAGGGCATTTCACATTATTGCAGTCTTCACTCCAGAGCATATTTTAAACAAGTTAAATGGAAATTGTTTATTCATCCCTTCCCTATATGTGATGAAATATGTCACTATGGGAAAAAATGACCCTACACTGTTGCAACTTTTGGGTGCATGAAGGGTTAAGACAGTCCCTAACCCCAGAGAGACGGGGCCTTCTACACAAGTTTCCCACCTACCAGAAAACTCTAGCGCTACCCTGATATATTGGTTCCTTTCTTCCTTTTCTCACCAAAAGATCTTTCCTGCCTACGAAACTCCCTGTTTTAATGCAGCGATGTGTGCGCCCGGTGAAGAGCTCATGTAGAGTGGAGTTTGCATCCCAGCCCTGCTTCCTCATAGCTGGTGCTTGCAGGCAATTTGTTTAGTGTCTCTAAAACCGTAAGTTCCTGTAGGGTAGCATCTGTGTCTTTGTCACCAGAGTATCCCCACCATGTAGGCAGGGATTAGCATGCTTGGTTTTCATCTCTGTGAAATGGAGATATTATAAAGTTGTCATGAGTTTGGAATGAAGAAACATTAAAAAATGCCTGCCATCCTGGCACGTCAGGTTTAAGAGCACTGGATCATTATCATTACGATCATCTATCACATTGTTTTTCGGCTCAAATGTTTAAGGTATCTAACCTGGCTGGGCTGCAGTCATACTCTCGGTCTACCATTAAGATATCTTCACATACCTAAAACATTTTCTACCCTTCTCTCGTTATAACTCTTTAGGTGAGACTAAAGATTAAAGAATCTTTATCAAAATGCAAAGACTTTTTGCCAGATTCTAGTTTAAGGGTCGAGATCTGCAATGAGTAATTTATAACATGTCAAACTTCAGAAATTCTCATATTTATTCGGACGGCCATCGACCACTGGATTCAGTAATTACTTTTATTGTCTCCTATCCCCCATTGGAATCGATTATTTTAATATTAAATAATGATAACTGTTAATTATACAAATTAATTGACGAATATTTGACGATTAATTTATCACTAGCCAAAGTGTGACTTTTTTTTTAATAGACTAAAGAAAGCTCTTATTTAAGGCTGTGGTAACTTCATAGAAAACACGTGATTTTAAAAAATCCTTTGTTAGAATTTATTAGAATTCTCTGATTCTCTTTTTTACTTTATTATTTGTCGGTTTTGCTGCCCTGCTTAGCAGTATGGTTGATAATATATCCAGATCTGAGCTGTAATTTCAGGTCAAAGCAGGATAAAATATTGATGACCTCCCTCATCTAGTCTGAAAGTTCAGGGAATCAAATATGTAATGAATGAACCCCTTACTTTGTTCATTATGTAAATATATAGTGTGTTTAGTTTCATCAGAAGAAAAAATTATGTAAGTATAGTGGATTAAGAAAATATTTGAGGGAAATCACAGTAATACATTTCATGTAACTATGGTTGCTGCCTCCTTCCCTGCTCCCAGCATTCTCTGGCAGGATGTAGCATCATATAGTGTTTGTACAGGATGAGTCTATTCCACTGCCTGGTGTATAAACACCAGTAACTCCTCTAAGGAGGAGGACCAGAGGAATGAGCCTCCCCAAGCTGCATTGCCTCATCTGCACAGGGAGAGACTAGGAGTCAGTGAATGATTTCTGAGGCTCTGTGATGGTCCTGTTTGGTGTTTGAAGATTGTACTAGTGATGCACTGTTGTTACTAAACATGCCTTTACCATCTCAATTTCTGTCGTGTGCAACTGTGAATTCTTGTTGGTTCTTCTCTAGTTATCAAAGGATATATTTTTCTATCCCAACCAGGAAGAGATTTTTCTTAGTTTTCTTACTTTCTCTGAAGAAATTTGAGAAAATGAGTACTTGCTGCCCTAAAATAATGATGATGGTAATAATTGATGATGATGATGATGATGATGATGATGATGATGAATTGTCTTCTGAATTTTCCTGGAAAGAATTCTTAATACTTTTTGTTTTGGAAATAGGTACATACAATTGAATAATGTAATATATCATCCTAACCCATCAGTGTTTTATTCGGTCGTTTGGATTTTCTGTTTAAAGTAGCAAAAAAATATATATTTTATGAATTTCTATTGAAGATTTAATTTTTAAAGAAATGACTCTATTATGTACCAATCAATAAGAATTTATTCGAACACTCTGAATTTCTACTAAATAGCATTCTGTAATTGCTAAAGTGCTTTCATGAAAGATGGACTCTAATCCTAGTGTTCCATCCCTTAATAGCAGTTTTTGCATGGTGTTTTTTTCTAAGTGTTTTAGAAAGAGTGATTTTTAAAGTTACAGTAATGCAGAAAATGTTTCATATAGAACTGTGATCTTTCACCTTTTGTCATAAAGGTTGCTCATTTGTCATCCTTGTCCCTTTCCCTAAGGAAATCCTGTCCATGTTTCATTTTACCACTAAAAAAATGAACCCAACATTTTTATGGCTCCATTTATAAGGGAAAAAGACTTTTTCATTTACATTCATGACATTTCTCTTCTCAAATACTGAAAATCATATGAATAGCTTTAATTATACATTACAGAGCTTTTTTTTCCCCCCCTAAGCAGACCTTGAAATAAGGTTCTTAAATAACTCTTCTGATGCTTACATATTAATCTTTTGTTTTTTTCCTGTCCTAGCAGTGTTAGGTAAACTGTTTATAATTAATTTCATATCAATAAATTAAGTATTCCAAGAATGTGAACCTCTAGATTGAGAGCTGTTAGTTATCTCGCTTCTCCTACCGTAACAAAGCTCCTAAAATATTAATAAATTCATGGGTTTTTGAATTAAATCACTGAATTACAGAGCTTTGAAAGGGACCCCCAGAAAACATCTGGTTCGGTGTGGTGCTTCCACAGAGGGCTGCCTTGTGGAACTGTCTAGGATGTGAGGGCATCTCTCTGGGCTTAAAGTTCTCTAGAGAATGAAGAAGCATTCAGAACCTTCCTTGAAAGCTTTTTTTGATAGTTGTTATGTAAGGATTGCTTAGAATTGATTATCTTGTGAAAATGCTTCTAGGAATAATAACCAGAAAATCAAGACAGCAGTATTCCTTTTTAAATTAAAGGATGGTTTAATTATAAATATGAAATAAGTCAATCCGAAACCCATTCTTAAAAGTAATAATGTTTTGTGTTTAAAATACATAATTCCTGCACCTAAGTATCTGGTTCTAATAAAAATGTATTTCCTCAAGAAAAGAAATTCTGTATTTAGAATTCTAAGCATATGATATGAAGAATGTTTAGAGTTCCTTAAAAACACAAAAACCAAAGAAAAAAAGATAGTCAAGGTCTCTTAAATTTTCTCTGCTCAGTCCTACCTTCTTATTGTTGATATTATCAGTTGTTTTTTAAAAACATATGTGGGACCCGCAGACAGAAGGAAAGACTCCAAATCAGAGTCTAGAGGTGTGAAGCCCAGTCGCTTTGGCACCTGTGTAACAGGTTCATCCCACTGGCCAAATTAGCTCCGCGGTGCTTTCTTCCTGTGTGCCACCCTGCCTTACCCCGCGCTCATACGTGCCCTCTATCATGCAGCGATGCCACTCTGGGGAGTAGAGAGATTGGGCTGACTCATCACACTGCTGAATAAACAACCGCGGAGCAGGTCCTGAGGTTGTAGGATCATTAACATCCTCTCTTCACTAGCAAGACAGTATCTTAAACACCGTGAGGATGACATGGATGGAGAGAGAAGAAATCCTAGATGGTTGACATAAATTCATTTTCTAGATAGCAGAAACTTATTCCTTTGAATGTCAAAACATTTAAAGAATGTGAACTCTTTTCACATAGAAATTTCCCTGAATAGTTTCCTTGCCTTCCTAGTTTGAAGGAGGACACTTAACACCACTGATCCTCTTGTACTCTGTACTGTTGATTTAAAAAGCATCTTCGAGATCGGCCCATATATTAAGCATTAACTCAAGTTATGGACTCTGTTAAAATCCTGACAAACAAAAATATACCAAGGAGGATGGCTGGGACAGTAAAGGGCTCTAAATATAAAATCACGCGGGCCCTTAGGTCGGCAATCTTATTCTACTTTGCTCGTTCAGTTTCCTCTTCTCTCAGGTCAGGAGTTGACAAACCCCCGCCTACTGCCTGTTTTTGTAAATGAAATGTTACTGGAACACAGCTGTGCTCTTTCATTTACGTATTGTTTCTTGCCGCTTTTGCGCTAGAACTGCAGAATTGGGTAGTTGCACCAGAGACCACATGGCGCATATTTACGCTTTGGCCCTTTACAAAAAAAAGTTTGCCAACGCTTGCAACGGATATGGCTGTTCCAAGCCTTCTTGTCTCATAGCTCCAGCATCTTCTCACAGTCATAACTCTGAGCAAAGGAAATGATTTCTTATTTTTCTGGGAACTAGAAGCCTTCGGAAAAGAATTTCCACATGTTCCCACCACCAGATATGCCAACCTACCTGCATAATTGCCCCTGTACCTCACCTGCTCTCTTTTTAGAGTGAAAATATTCATATTTATGTTTCTGTCTGAGAGTAGTTGCTCAAGGACATCACTCCTAAAAACTCCCTCTCTCCCTCCTACATCCTCAAAGTTCCCTCCTTACTGGATGATTTCTAAGAAAGGTAAATATACTGGGACACCCCTCACCTGAAGCAAACGAGCAAACTCCCTTCAACGTCACTCTTTAGCTAGCATCCCATTTCTCATAACAAAAGTCCTCAGAAGAGTTATCTCTCCTGTGTTGAACCCAAGCTAAGAAGGCTTTTTTATTTTCCTACTACTTTTTTTCTCAACAAAACAAAAACATTCTAAATTCAGAGTCACCAGGTACTTTTGTCAAATTCAGCATCAAGTACTTTGAATCTATCTTATTTGATATTTCAGAAGCATTTGATACAGTTTATCTTTCTCTCCTCCCTGAAGCACCTTCTTCCTCACTTACCAGGTTCTTCTCCTGGAGCTACTCTTAGTCTTCTTTTCTGATTACTCCTTGTTTTTCCAGGATCTAAACAAGAGACTCAGTTCCTGGATTTATCCCCTTCTCTGTTTATATCACTCCACTGGTAACCTCACTCATTCCTTTGGTTTTAAATACCATCCACATGATGATGACTCCCAAATTTCTGTCTCTAGCCTGAACTTCTCCCCCGAATGTCCAGAACGCCAACCTAGCCACTCCACCTGGATGTCTAGCAAGCTTATTCCTTCCCAGACGTTCTCCTCCTCCATTCTTCCCAGTCTCAGTCAATGACAATCCTACCCTTCCAGTTGCTCAAGCCAAATATCTTGGAGACAACAAGATCTGCTGCCCTACCTTTGAAAAATTTCCAGATTCTAACCACTTCTCAACACCTCCACCAGTTCTAAGCCATTTCTTATCTGAAGACCAGTCTCCTAAATGGTCTTCTAGCTTCAACTCCTTCTTTCCGCCCAACAGTATTTTCTCAGCCCAGAAGACGGAATGATCCTGTTAAAATGTAAGTCAGATTGTGCCAGTCCTATCTTTAAAACCTTCAATAAAGGATCTCCATCTTGTCCAGAAAAAGAATCTAAACCCCTTACACAGTCTGTAAGGAAACTACATGATCTGGCCCCAAAACACCTTTCTGAACAATCGATTCCACCAGTCCCTCTGCCTTACCAACTCTACTTCAGCTGTGCTGTTCTCTTGGCTCCTTTGAACAAGCCTCAGAGTCCTTGTACCTCTGTCCCTCTGCCTGGAACACTCTTCCTCACTTGTAGGTCTCCACTCAAATGTCACCTTAGTACAGAATCCTCCCCTGACATTCCTATCAGAATAACACCTCCAATCATTTCTCTGTCCCTTTACCCTGCTTTATTTTCTTTCCTATCATGTATTACCATTCGATAATACATATCTATATGTTATAGAATCCACATCCCCTGTAGTTAAGTTCAATGACATGTGGGACTTTGTTTTTTGTCATTGTGGTTCACTACTGTATCCCTAAAACCTATGTTAGATCTTGGCACATGATTGTTTTTCAAATAAAATCTGTTGAATGAATGAATGAATGAAATAGAGAGCTGGGGGATATATATGGAGAATGCTAAAAGGAGGATATCATAAATATTGGTGTTTAAGTATTTGGAAGATTGTCATTGAATGAGAGATAGACATAGTTTCAGTTGCTCTAAGAGGCAAAACTAGTACTCATGGGTTTAATTTCAATGGTTTCAGAGTTTTGTCTAGTGTGATAAGGGGCTTTCCAATAGTTCTGGCTCTCCAACAGTACACAGGCTGTCTTAAGATAAACTGAGATTCCTGTTCAAGGAAACCTTGGAAATGAACTGGAAGACCTCTTGTGAGGGATGTTGTAAAAATAAATCTCTGACTTTGGTGGAGGAATTCCACTTGTCATCCTCTGGGAATCAGTGATTTGGGCAACTTTATGGATTTTTTTGTTTCCTTCCTAGTTGTTGAAGAAACAGCTAGATAAGGAGGAGGTGTCCTTGCCCCTAGGAATAAGGACTTAATCATTGCTTTGTGTGTATGGTCCCATTTCTCAGATGCCTACTCAAAAAAATTGGGTATCTTTAGCACAAAGCATTAAGACCATGAAGCTGTGATCACTTCTGGCCCTTTCTACATATTTGGTCATGTTGCTGAGTCCATTTAAATCCTGTAGGTTGTATGGGGTATAACAGAAATTCCATAGTTTTGACCATTCCTGCCAAGAGTAACTTTAGATTTCTTTATTAGCTCATGTCCTGATATGTGCGTATGAACCATTTTCGAAAGAATTTGAGCAAAAACAGTTCATAATTTGTGTGTTGTAACAAACTTTTTTTTTTCTAATCTAAGTCTCAGATTCTCCTTCTTCATGTTGTTATTACTTAGATACTTTAGTGAAATAAAAAAAAAAATATGATGCTTCATGGATCATTTCCAAACTCTGATGAAATTTTAAGCTTCTTTTTTCCAGCTTATTTTTTAAAAACTTTTCCACCATATTTTATTGTAGCATTGGAAGTATTTCGCTAATAATGCCCCATAGTAACTTTCCATTTGTCCAAAAAAAAAAAAACCTTGTGATCTCCTTGTTAACCGCGTATTTGTCTATGGAATGATCTGGTCGAGCAAAAGAACCGGGAGGTTGTGTACTGCTATTTTTAGTGCTCTGTATCACTTCACCCTTTTTGCCGGAGTGGTTCCTGGCTAACTTTCCCATGAGTTTTTAACCTCTTGTTAGGCTTTGCTTATGTAACAGGAAACAGGCTGTCAGGAACAAATAGTGATGTGTCAGGGGCACACGTTAGTAGCAATTGATTTAGTTTGCTCTGCCCTTCAGTCTCTTAAAGTAGACTGATAAATGGTCTCAACTTTAAGACTTTTAGTGTGGCATTCCTAGATTAAAACTTCACTTTTGGGAAGACCAAATATTTTACCAAGACCATGATTTAATCCAGGAGACAGAGAAGATGCGTTTATTATAAGGTGAACTTTGCAGCGGTGTCATGTCCTGGGACTGTGGATTTAAGTATATCTTCGCTTTTTCTCCAACTCTTAAGGCAGGGGTAATGTGCAAGCTTCAGGAAAGAGATGACATGGGACGAATCGAACTGGTCCAGAAGCTGGCGAAAGAAAACTGTCAGTTTTTGCAGACAGAGAAAAAAGAACGGGAGAAATCTGAACACGTAAGCCTTTTTCCTCTTGGGGATGCACATTTGACGGGGTGGAAAATGTTTCTGCCTGGGTTGTATCTTTGGAGGAAAGAATACTTTATTTTCAATTCTTTAGAGTTTGTTTTTTTCTCCCTAAAAGCATCCTCCCTAGTAAAAATGACAGATCCTAGCCAGTGGTTTATGACACTGGATTTATAAGAGAACTCATCTCAAAAGTAAATCATGTAGAAATATAAGAATGCATGTAAGCAAATATGAACGCGTGTCTATTTATGATCCTGATATGACGGCTTTCAAATTTGACCTTGGGAATTTCACCCCATCCGATAGTTTGTAGAATATGAATTTGTCCTTTTATGTTTACGTTTAGTACAAGGGGTGGTTCAAGTTATCAAACAAATGTATCTGAGGTCACTAGAAATAGACAAGAACAGAAAGACAGATTATAGATGTTCTCACCAAGCAGGAGAATCAAAAGGGAGTTTTCCCAGTCTCTTACGAATGTTTGTGTTCCAACAAGAGTGATATTGTTTAGATGTGGTTAAACGAGGGGAAAGGGTTGCTCTGCCCGCTTCTCCTGAAAGCAGTTATTCAGATCGAGCCTTAGAACTGAGAGCACTGCCGACGTGCCAGG